GCACGCGCTCACACGCACGCGCTAGGACAATTAAATCCTCTGTCCTGCAGCCTGTTGGGGCAAAGTTCTGGTTTTAACGAGCACCTGTCAGGGCCAGCAGGGTCTTCACACACACGTGCAGACAATTACATTGTTTACAAACACCCCTGCGATAACACACACACACACAGTCACACCAAACACACACACAGTCACACCAAACACACGCACGCGCAAGCACGCGCATGCTCGTCAACACGACATCACAATCTCAACCCTCTCTCTCTGGCCTATGTTAAGGACCTTGCATTGCTGGCTGGAGATATTTTTAAAAGGGTATTTTTTTTGCCCCCATCAGAACTTCACCAGTAAGTAGTGCATCACCCTGTGTTAGACCCCCCCCCCCATCCTCCTCCGACTCGACCTTCAGCGCCACCACACCATGCGGATGAGACCCAGAAAAGTCGACAGCAGCTCACTGTTTGCCGGTTTGGGAAAGAATCCATATTTGAAAACGTCTACCCACATGTGAGAGACGCATCGGAGGGCTGCTGTGTGACGCTGCTACAGACTCAGATGTCACCACCCCCCACTCGCCCCCCCCCCCCCCCCGTGTCTCTCGCCGTGCAGAAGAAGGAGTGGGCGTGGGATGAAAGCAAGATGCTGGTGATGCATGACCCCATCTACCGGTGGGTGGTGGCTTCCGTGACCTTTACAAGCGCGCCCACACACACACGCACACTCCCCCCACACACACACACGCACACTCCCCCCACACACACACACGCACATTCCCCCCACATACACACACGGACACTCCCCACACACACACACACTCCCCCCACACACACACACACTCCCCCCACACACACACTCACTCCCCCCACACACACACTCCCACCCCCCACACACACACTCCCCACACACACACTCCCCCCCACACACACGCACACTCCCCCCACACACACTCAGGACAAGGAACCGGCTAGGATAGAAATCGCCACGAGCCGTTCCCGGAAATCTGGCACAGGGTCTCTGGGTTCGTCGTGTGGTGCGTGCTAACCACTGCGCCACGCACGCACGCACGCACACACGCACGTACAAATGCGTACACGCGACAAAGAACCCTCCGATAGCTACATGGAACGATGTTAGTGAAAACCTATCAAGGCCAGCACAACGCCGCCTAGTCACCTTCATCTCCCCAGCGCTGATGTTTACACACGAACTCCGATTAACACGGTTGGCTACGTACGGTGCGAAACAAGTTCGACGTACATACATCTCATCGGTCAAAGGTCATCGGTGGTGCATAACTCACCATCGCCACGCGAGGTCCCTGGTTGCTACCGGTCCGAATGAGCCCTTTTAGTGCGACAAAAATAGCAACATTTAATCTGACGCACAGAGGGACGCACGAAGTTACCTACCGTGTACGCGCGTTTTCTACCGCTTTCCATGCAAAGGTCGAAAGCGCTCGTACATGACTCCTGTCCCTCCGTCGGTTTGTAACGCGCACGCGGTCGCGGTTACTCTCGTGACGATCATCCCGTCCGGACCAAACTTTAACGCCGAGTGGCGATGCTGTTCGGCACTTGCCCCATTGTCAACCGGCCACGTTGACCAACGCCGCGTTGCCTGAGACTTGGGGAGACAAAGAAAATAAAGAAAAAAACCAGCGCCAAAAGGCCTCTTGGCAGGCAACCTGCCAGGTGTTGCCCCGACAGCCACCGGGGACAAACGCGCGTTGAGCATCCCTGCGTGGGCTCCATCCCTCTTCCTCGTTCCCTAGTTGTCCCTCTTCTAAGCGTGGAAGAGTAGGCCAAATACCCCTCCAGACGGTCTCTCTAGCATCGCGCTTCGCCTTTGCCGTAGTGAAGTAAAAAAAAAGATGAAACCGTGACGTCTTCTCCTCCCGCCCCGCCGATGCCAACGGCCGCCACCGCCGCCAGGATCTTCTACGTGTCGCACGACTCGCAGGACCTCAAGATCTTCAGCTACATCGCACGCGACGGCACCAGCAACGTCTTCCGCTGCAACGTCTTCAAGTCCAAGAAGAAGGTGAGGGAGGGGGGGGGGACGCACGGGGTCCCGACGCCGGGCGCGGCTCGTGCACCACCCCCCACTGTCCATCCCCCCCACCGCCGCCCCCAGTATGTAAATAAACAGGGACATAAAGGTCTAATAACTTGGACGTAACGATAAGTCAACTGGCGAGCCCGAGGGCGGCGTCATTCTGCCGACTCGCTCGTCATTGGCGACGGTGGCCCCGGCTCCCCTTGCCACGCGTTCACCACCCCCCCCCCCCCCCCCCGTGCACTCCCCACCACCTCCACCAGCTCCACCGCCTCCACCACCCCCACCGCCTCTACCACCTCCATCACCACCACCACCTCCACCACCCCCACCGCCTCCACTGCCTCACCCACCTCCGCCTCCACCACCCCCACCACGTCCACTGCCTCCACCACCTCCACCGCCTCCACTGCCTCCACCGCCTCACCCACCTCCACCACCCCCACCACGTCCACCACCTCCACCGCCTCCACCACCGCCTCCACCACCTCCACCGCCTCACCCACCACTACCACCCCACCACGTCCACCACCTCCACCGACCTCCACCACCTCCACCACCTCCACCGCCTCCACCGCCTCACCCACCACCACCACCCCCACCACCTCCACCACCTCCACCGCCTCACCCACCTCCACCTCCTCCACCGCCCCCACCGCCTCCACCACCTCCACCGCCTCACCCACCACCACCACCCCCACCACCTCCACCACCCCCACCACCCCCACCACCCCCACCACCTCTGTGCGTGACCCCGCCGCCCGCGTGCCTTGCAGTCGCACGCGATGCGCGTGGTGCGCACCGTGGGGCAGGCGTTCGAGGTGTGCCACAAGCTGAGCGTGCAGCATGCGCAGCACGTGCCCGACGGGGACACCGACAAGGGCCCGCTCGGCGGCGGTACGTGCGTGTGTGTGCGTGTCTGTGTGTGCGTGTGTGTGCGTGTGTGTGCGTGTGTGTGCGTGTGTGTGCGTGTGTGTGCGTGTGTGTGCGCGTGTGTGCGTGTGTGCGTGTGTGTGTGTCACGGGGCGTTAGGGTGCCTGAGGGCGTGAGGGGGCATAAGGGTGCATGACGGTGGTGATGGTGGTGGTGGTGGTGATGACGGTGATGGTAGTGGTGATGGTGGTGGTGATGGTAGCAGTATGGTGGTGATGGTAATGGTGGTGGTGGTGGTGGTGATGGTGGTGGTAATGGTGGTGATGGTGGTGACGGTGGTGGTGATGGTAGCAGTATGGTAGTCGTGGTGGTGATGGTGGCGGTGGTGGTGATGGTGGTGACGGTGGTGACGGTGGTGACGGTGGTGGTGATGGTGGCAGTAGCGATGACCGTATCGGCACTCGCAGCTAACGGCACGGCCGCGCTCGTGCCGGCCGGGGAGGCAGTGGAGACGGACATCGATGCCGAGGACGGCCCCTCGCCCGCGGGGCTCGCCGAGCCGGCACGGCGGCCGGGGCTCACCGACCTGGACACGACGGAGCCGCACGCACAGACGCCGGCACAGGTGGCACGGAGCGTGGGGAGCGTTGGAATTCATCGATTCGGTTAAGAAGCACATCATGACAATGATGTGCCTCGTGTCACGGTATTGGTCATCATCGTTGTGATGCTGAAGATATTGTTGACAATGTTAAGGATCGAGATTGTGATCACGGTCGAGGTAAAGATGATTGCGATGATGATGGTGATCAAACTGGAGAACCAAATGATGATGGTGATAGTGCTCAAGGCTAACGTACTTATTGCCCCCCCCCTCTCTCCCGTACCGTCTCCCCTTCCCGACCCCCCCCAACCCCCACCGGCTCCCCGGCTCCATGCGATGTGGCCACAGGGCCTCCCACCGGCCTCTCCCCAAGCGGCGTCTCCTCCGCACCTGGGCATGGGCTCTTCTCCCAGCATGCCCCTCTCCACGCACCACCAGATCCAGCTGCTGCAGCAGCAGCTGCTGCAGCAACAGCAGCAGACGCAGGTGGCCGTGGCGCAGGTAACCGGCTACCACCACCGCACCACCACCGCACCACCACCGCACCACCGGCACCACCACCGCACCGACTCACCACCACCGCCCTTGAATCCCTGAGCAAAGCGGGGTCAAGTGCTTGGGTTTGGTAATCTAGACGAGCGGGGGGCTTGCCGGGTGTTGTAGGCGCGAGGCTGCGAGGCCGGGATGTGGCAGCTCCGAGTGCCGCCCGCTCGTGCACGGCGCTGTGCCCGGCGTTCCCCGGGGTCTCCGGCTCTGCCGCTGCGCGTGCCAGGGCGGGCGGCGTCGTGGCGCGCGGACCGCCCGGACGAGGGAGCGCCGCGGGGGCCTTGTGCAGGACGCGGCGAGACGGGAAGGGGGCCGGCAGTCGCGATGATGACGACGATGACTGACAACGATGATGATGAAGACTTTAACGACGATGACGTTGTTCTGGCCGCAGGTGCAGCTGCTCAAGGACCAGCTGAGTGCCGAGTGCGCGGCGCGCATGGAGGCACAGGCCCGCACGCACCAGCTGCTGCTGCAGAACCGCGACCTTCTGGGTCACGTGAGCGCCCTCGTCAAAGAGATCCAGGGCCTGGAGATCAGCCTGGCCCAGCACACCGGCAGTACGGCATCACAACCCCTAACACCATCATCATATCCACCAATGTCTGCTCCACCAGGGAGATAAATGTCATTGTTGTAATCTCCACGGTCATCGCCATCTCCACTGCTATTATCGCCGATATGAATGCAACGATCATCAGCGTAACAACCATCAGAAAGAGAAACCGTGTTCACTGTCATCATCGCGGCCACGCTTTGCGATGGGGCCCAGTAGCTGGGGGGAGGTCAAGTCCGACTTCTCTCAAGACAATCACCAACATCACCGGTGTCATCACCATCACCGCCACGACCATCACAACCACCACAACCTCTGACATCTACAACACCTCCCCCACCACCGCCACCGTGGCATCTTCGGGATTAACCAAAATCCCCTCCCACCCCCACCCCCAGGTGCCAGCCGGCTGAGTGTGACCGACGTGTCGTGGGCCACAGCGGTGAGCTCGCCGCCCCAGCCGGCCTTGCTACTGTGCGGGCCGTGCACGCCGCGGCCGGCCGACGTCGGCCTCTCCCCCGTCGTCGCCGGCGGCCGGGACGCCGTCGGCGGCGGCGACGACGACGGCTTCGGCCTCCGCCTCGCAGGTACGCGGCCCGCTCGGAGCGACGCCGACCGGCGATTCGACCCGTGCGCCCTCGCCGTCGCCGCCGCCGTTAATAACGCGACGCCCGTCGCCGCGGACGCGGTCGCGGCGCCGGTCGGAATCGCCCCGCGGCGGCCGCCTAGCGGCGCCGATCCGCCGGCGTGCCGAGAGGAGACGGCCCGAGGGCCGCGGTCGCCGCCGTCGTCGCCGCCACCGAGGGGGACGGGCGAGGGGTCGCCCGCGGGGCGGTCCGGCGCCGGCGACGGTTCGCCGGGCGGTGCCGAGGCGTCGCGGCGCGAGGGGGAGGGGTCGCGGCGCGAGGGGCGACGCGAGGGAACGCCTCCCGGCGGTGGCGAGGAAGAGGAGGAGGCTCCCGTGCAGAACGGGGTCGCGCACGAGAATGGCATGGGGCCGGAGGTGGCGCTCGGGTGCCACGCACGCGACGGAGTTGGGTCGGCCGCCACCGCCGTGGGCAGGAGGGGCGGCGGTGGCGGCTCGCGGCCCGAGAGGTTCAGCTTCCCGCTGGGCCCCGGCATGGGCTGGGACCCGGCCGTGTGCCGCTGCTTCTCGCTCGAGATGCTGCACGGCCAGGAGTCCGGCATCGGCCTCGAGAGCGACTCCAGCGAGGACGACGACGACAACGATGACGACGACGATGACGAGGAGGGGGAGGAGGGCGACGAGGTGGGGACGGAGTTAGCCGAGGCGATGCTCGGGCCTGGCTTTAGGCAGCTGGGCGTCAGGGGTCACGGCCTAGGCTGTGGAGAAGCCGTGAGAAACAAGCCAGTCATCGTGTAGCCACTGGCCGCTTGCGGTGTCTTGTGATATAATTTCACCACTCGTATTTTACTATTGTCGTTACTGTTGTTGCTATTGTTGTTATTGTTGTTTATTTTCGGTGTCTTTTTGTCGGGGGACGCTGCCGTGCTGTAACGGTCAGCAGCGCGCTGCTGGACTGGCGATCCAGAAGTCGTCGGTTCGATTCAATCTTCCCCCCACCCCGCCCAACCGCCTTTGTTCCGCCCAGCGGTGTAAGCGGGTTCACCACAAGTTAGCCCATGATCGGCAGGTCGTGTGTGTGGTGGGGCAAAGTGTGGGCACTCCCACCTCTTCTAAAACGTCTGGAACAGTGTGGAAGAGTAGGCCAAGCACCCTGTGAAGAGCGAGGCTCTCTGGAGCTCCCCCCCGGTGGAGGCCCTTCCACCCACAATTGGCACAAGTGAGCAATTGCAGGGCTGCCCCTTTACCCACGGTTATGTTAGAACCCGCGGCTAAGACTCGCTTCGCTCGCAAGCGGAGAGTAGCGAGTTCACATGCAGGTCAAGTCGGGCATTGATTGACTCATCCCCCTGGGGTGGATAAAACGAGTACTACGATGCGTGAAGTCAACTGGTGCTTGGCCTATGGAACGGCTAATCCCTGCCATAAGAATGTGGAATTGTCACCACTGGTCCGCCACCCCCCAACCTCATCCCCCATGACCGTATGAGCAGGAAACCACTTGAATGGTTTAATTTCACTATTCATTAATAAAAATAACGTACTTAGTTTCACTTAAATTTATTTACCCATTTCTTCAAATAGCTCGTCCATTAATTGGACATTCACTGTTATCACTATTGCCAGTAAGCCGCGAGTATGATGCTGATATTACGGCAGCATTACGCGAGTGTTTTGCCAGTATGACGAATGAATATGATGCCGGAATGATGCCAGTATGAATCCGATATGACGCCAGTAACACGCGAGTTTCACTCTGGAATGACGCCAGTACTCCGGGCTAAACGTGTTGTTTCGCTGTACGCGTCGCGTGAACGAGAACGGCTAAAGATGTGCGCGGCTCGAGGCCCCCCGAGCGGTTCCACGCGACACCGCAGCGACACCGCAGCGACACCGCAGCGACACCGCAGCGACACCGCAGCGCCACACCCTCGCCATCACAATACCCACCACGCCCGAAGTACGGGGGCGGCGGGGGGGGTTGCAACCCGTCCTGGTTTTCCCAGGATCGTTCTCTTCGTTGGGGAGGCAGCTGCTGCCCTGGGACATCTCTGAAGCGAAAAGTCTCCCCGGCTTTTGGTCCGTTGCGTGATTATAATAATAATCGTGATGTTACACGGCTCACTCAAGACGACGGAGCCACGAGCAGCTCTCCGCTCTTCCGCTGGTGTGGGGGTTTGCTGCTGGTTAGGATACGTCCCGGATTGGTGGTGGCAACCCCACCCACTCCTCCTCCCGCTGCCGCACCGATCGCCCGTCGTGAATTGTCAGTCGCCGTTCAGGGCATGACACTCAAAGCCCCGCACAGGTGGATTCAATCCCCCTTGCTGTGCTGCTATCCGTCGGGTGCCGTGCGGTGCTGCTCACCCCCCCCCCCCCCCACCACTCTCCGGCTGTGACCCCCATTCCTCGTGACGGAGGTGCCAGGCTAGGTGTCCGTCTCACGCTATACAAGTGCACTTGACAGCGACGGGCGCCGTCTCTCTGCAGCCCGTGCGGAAGAGACGGCGCCCGCGTGCGGGGGCATCGTACACGCGCGGTATCGATGTGTAGATGTGTACTTGGGATCTCCGTGTACGTCGTAACATTTGATATTGGCCACTGAAATTGCACGCGCAGCCCGTCTGTAAGAGCGCCGCGCCAACGAACCCCCCGCCGGCCAAGTTTCATTCGCGTCCACGGCTAACGTCGGCGGCGAGCGATACCCACCCGGAAGGATCCGCACGTACCCCGTGGTGTTGATTCAGGAGCTGTGCACCGACCGAGGTCATCCACAACAACAGTAGCCAGAAGGAAAACCGGAACCAAAGATTTCGACCGCGTTCGTGGCGACGGTTGATGGCGCCACTTTCTGGAGAGAGTGTGGTACCTCACCTGCGGTACAGACTGGTGGGCTGGTGGAGGGCAACTCCGTGGTGTGTGGGGGGGGGCAGGATGAAGTTGACCACCCCCCCTCCCCTCAGCTCACCCTTCTAAATTATTTTCATCGGTGCAACGTTTTTAACAGCGGGTGGCGATTTTTCGTCAACATTTTCCGGTGTGACAAATGGCCATGAACCATTAACAGGAACAAGTTAAGTGCCGAGGTTCGTTCAGAGTTTGTTGAACATTGACTGCCCCCCCACCACCCCCCCCCCCCGATCCCCCGTTCACACGAGGTCAGGCTGCAGGGTTCGTGAAGGCTTCGGCGTTAATGCGGTCGTCCGCTCGACCTTGTGAACGAGACCAAACAACAACAAAATACACGCGGAAACATTACTGCGCGGCAGGGATACATTTCAGTGGCCAATTTTGAAGTGAGTGCGGGACGCTTGTGACAAAAACATACACAGTATATATATCTTAATATTTTGGAAGCGACCAGGATCTCTGGATAGGCTTCATCTCCGGTGGTTCTCTTCCCCCGCGGGCGGTTTGCATTTGCGCAACAAAAACAACGAACGAGCGGCGCAACTCGAGCGGACGTCTCCGCCGACGGCTAACGCCGGACTCAACTCGGCGCCGCGGTGGCCACAGCCGCACTCGAGCGCGGTTCCCGTGGGCCGAGCCGTGCGTCCGCGACTGTCACCGAATAAAGACGCTGCCGCGTCAGCAGCAAGGCCTTGACCGGAGCGTTCAGCGTCGATTCTCACAGCGGTCGCCAGGGGGTCGAGGGACGCCGCGTACTCGCCACATCGCTCGTCGTGCGCGGGGCTCGCGGGGTCCACGCAGACAAACGTCCCTCCGGGGTCCGTCAAACAAGTGCCGCTCTGTTGGGGGAATGTGGAATTTCCACCACTGGCTGGGGGCCATAAACAAGAGTTGGGCCACCCACCGACTCGACGCTCGTTTTGAGCAGGAAGGATTTGTTTTGAGTTCCGGCCCGAGGGTTGGAGCAAGGCCTGGGGACCACAGGGACCCTACGGGGGGGGCAGGGGTGGGGACCACAGGGACCCTAAGGGGGGGGCAGGGGTGGGGGGCGGCAGGGACCCTAAGGGGGGGGGCAGGGGTGGGGGGCAGCAGGGGTCGCAGAGCAGGGATGAGGATCTGGGGGCTCGAGGGGGCAGGTGAGGGCAATTGATGACTTTTTCTGAACCAACAAAACTATTTGTTTCCTCCTTGTGCTTTCCATTGTGGAGCCGAGCCGAGCGCCAAGGTAAGGAAGTCCGACGTTTCGTGTCAGCGGGCCGCGTCCCAGGGCCCCCTCTCGGTATCGGCATGGCCGCGGCGGTTCGCTCTCATTCTGTTCCGTTTTGCCTGCCGTCGCTGTGCAGACTTTGCGCCACGTCCACTGGGTATAACCGGCACGCTCCTGACATCGTCACGCCACTTGGCCTCTGGTTGCAGGGACATCCAAATGCAATAAATGTATTCGCATGCAACCCAATTGAGATTCAGTTGCGAGTGACCGAGCTGCGAATCAGTTGTGTGCAACCCAAGTTGGGATTCGGTTGCATGCAATCAACTTGCGCAACTGATCAGCCTGGTGTGGACCCGGCTTACGAGTCCCTTGTCCCTATCATCATCATCATCATCGTCGTCGTCTTTGTCGTCATCTGTGAATCGTCGTCACATTTCATCTCGTCCCGTCAGCACGCCGCTCGCTCATAGCCGTTCCCCGTGCAGCCTTCCCTGCTTGCCCCACGGTTCCGTTCCATTTTCTCGTCGCAGCGATGGCAATCGTTCACCGGCCCGCTCGTCGTCATCGCCTTGTGCGTAAAAGGCAACGACGCAATGCGCATCTTTAACAAACAGAGGACGCGCGGCGCTTGGGCAATTGTCGATAGCGCCGCTCGTCACTGCCTGGCTGCTGCTGCTGCTGCCTTCGACAGCTCGTGCCTGTGGTTTGTCGGCGATTGTGAGAAGCAATATGCACGAACGATGATGACACGCTTAAACATCGCTGCTCTTACTATGATCGTGACCCCGTGTTCCCGTGTGTCTCCTCCTCCTCCTCCGCAGTCGATCAGAGCCTCTTTGAGAACGCCAGTTTCTCAGCGTCCCCGATGCCCAAGGGTAGGCACGTCACGGTTAGCACCCCTGTCGTCGGGGTGTCGGCGGCGGCCGGGGTGGGGCCGGGGGTGGCGGCACCGGGGCCCCCCCCCGTTCCCCGGGAGGAAGAGCGGGGCCCCCCCACCCCGGGGAGCGGGGGGCGCGCCACCTGGACGGCGCTGGGAGCCGCCGAGCGTTGGCCGAGCGACGCGTGGGACGCGGCGGCGGAGCAAGCGGGACGCGGGGGCGGCGCGTGGAGCACCGCCCCGGCGATGGCGATGGCGGCGGCTCCTCACCTGGCGCGCAGGTGAGCGATCGCGCACACGCAACAGGGGTGCGTGTGTGTGTGCGCGTGTGTGTGCGCGTGTGTGTGTGCGCGTGTGTGTGTGCGCGGTGGTGTAGCGGCCGGAGTTTGATTCCCGCTCATGGCCACCCACACCGTTGACGATTATCTGAACCGGTCCTGAGCCTCCCCTAGGTCGCCTCGGCCTCAAATGAGTACCTGGTGCGGTGTGTCAACATCGCCACTGGGAGACAAAGGCAGCCGGGCGTGGTGCTGGCCACCGACCCCCTCATGTGCCATGCCGGCCTTCATGTGCTCACTAACAGCACTTACCCCAACAATTTGTTAAGGCTAAAAAAGACAAAGATTTCTGTATGTATATACAACAACAACCGCCATTCACCACTAATTGACGGTGACGCAACCACAGCGCTTGTGCCAGGCTAGGTGCACTTTAAGGCCACGTCAAGCGTCGAACGCCCGCTGGCAGGTCACGGGACAGAACCAACCAGGTGCCATGTATTGACTGACTGAGATGGCTGGCCGGGCTCAAAAGATCCAAAAACACCAAAAACACCAAGCGGCCAGCAACCGGCGTTTCAATCCACCCTCCTCCATCAGCGCGGTTCACCGATCCAACTCGAAATTCATCCCTGGAAAAATCTCTGCGGTCGATCCTACCCACGAGCCACTGGTCCACCGCACGGGCTGACGCACACGAGTGTTTATCTGTGCAGTGCCAGCACGTCTGCACACGCACGTGTGTGTGTGTGTGTGTGCGCGCGCAAGTGCTTGGACTTTTCGTGTACGAATGTACGTGCGTGTACTTTGTGTGCACACGTATGCATGTGGGTGTACGTGGAGTGTGTGGTGTGTACGTGGAGCGTGCGTGTGCCGTGTGTGTGATGTGGGTGCGAGTGTCACGCCCTGCCTACGGCCCTGCCCTTTGACCCCTGCCAGGGCCGCCTCCGACACCTTCCCCCGGTTGGAGCCGCCGCCACCGTCCGCCGCTCGCAAGCGCGTCCCTCGCGCCCTCAAGACGACGCACGACATGATGGTGCCGCCCAGCGCCACCAGCAACACCAGCAACAGCTCCGCCACGGAGCTCCACCACCACGACCACCACACCGCCACCACCACCACCGACGACGGAGACGACAACAACAACAACAACATCGACGACCACCACCACCACGACCATGACGACGATGAAGACCCCTTCTCCTGCTCGGCCGAGATGCGCCTGCTGTTCCTACAGGAGGAGCCGACGCAGCGCTCCTTCGGGAATTCCTTCTGGGATTACTCGGGCAGTCCGGACCGCGACTCGGCGGGATCGGGCGAGCCGGCACTCGCGAACGGCGCGAGCCGGGGGGAGCACGCCGGGGATGAGACGGCGCAGTCCAAGCAGCAGCAGCAACAGCAGAGCGCCGACAAGGAGTTGGTTCCGAAGTCGATCCGGAAGGAGCTGGACGCGCTCGGCGTTCCGGAGTCGGAGTCCCGGATTTCCGGGCGGGATCCGCTCGAGGAAGGGTCGGAGGATTCCGGCATCGTCCGGCAGAGAGACTCCGGCGCCTCGGAGGGCGAGCGCGCCGAGGCCCTCGGCCTCGACTGAGCGCGAGCAGCAAAACTAAAATCGATAATTAAATAGGTAAATGTAACCATCGACATCCGGAGCAGACGGCTGTTGAGTTCACGACGGGAGCCGGACGTCGACGCTGACGAATCGGTGACCTTTCCCTGCCCTGCCCTGGGAGCACCGTTGTGAAAATCTTGACGTCATTAATTTGTGGCATCATCATCACCGTTGTTGCTATTTTTTATTTTTATTTAAAGTTACGTTTTTTACAACGTTCATCTCATCCGATAGATTTTGTCTCATCCCGCGAGTATTGTTGGGTTTTTTATTTTATTAGCTCACCGATGTCATCGAAGTCCCAGTTCCTTAGCAACGACAACTCTCAAAAGCGACCGCTTGCGCCGGCTAGCGCTCACGGTGACCTTTAACCCCGCGCCCTCCGCCATCATTTCTGACGCCGCAATCATTTCCCAGAAAGATGCAAATCACTGTTTTTATTTCTCTCTCGATCTCGCCTTCGCGTTTGCATTTCCACGAGCAAGCTGCTGTCAAACGTTGTACTAATGTTTTCTGCTTTATACGCAATGTATGGTTATTGTTTTGATACTCGCCCTTGCCATTAAGAATGTGGAATTTCCATGTCTGACTCCGGGCCACCAAACGGGCGAGATGAGCACTGCCTGGTACCCAAAAAACACTTTTGGGACGGATTCCCACCGTGTTGCCGAATGTTCCAGTCGGAACTTCGGCAAAATTGTCCCGATGTGTCAATCACCAACAACGGGGAAAACAAATCCAGAAAAGCGATCGGCTGTCTTCGTGGCAGAATGTCACTTTGACCCCCCTTAGACTCATTCACCGGAAACGTTTGAATTGTAGGCGAGCGAGGCCTTGAGAGGCCTCGCCGGGCCTCGACTCTGAATGTACGCGACTCCGCGTGGACGCGCAGCGACGGCGGCGGTGGCGGTGGCGGCTATGAATTAGGAGGATGGAATGTTTACGCAAGTGACGGAAGGCACGGGAAGGTCGCGGGAAGATTTGAGAGATTGTAGACCAATGTTAATGTGGAGCCAAGACGAGGAGGAGGCGGAGCAGCAGGAGGACGTGTGCGTCTCTGGGTTGGTTCAAGGAGGATCCAGTATGGGCGTAAAATCAAAGATTAAAGCACAACCGGGAGGTGACCTGGTGGTTCCTGGCTTGTCGGAGAAGCCGGGCCCACCCCTTTGAGATCATCGTCATTACGGGTTCGGATCTGGATTTCAGCCACGACTCGTTGAACGAAAGCCTCATCGAGTTGAGCAGTGGACTTGGCCCTGGTGACCAGTGACCACGAAATAAGCGGGACACAGAATCCCCGCGCAGAGCGCAGCACCGCTCGACGCAGCCAACGTCTCCTATTTACATAGAAACGGATTTGCCTTCGGGGGCAGTGGGCATTGTGAAGGGCAGCAGTAGAGGGGTTGGGGGGGAAGGCAGCAAAGGATCACGGTGGGCAGCAACAGATAGGCAGTGGTGGGGGTCGTCGGCATTGGGAAGGGCAGCATTAGTGGGGTTGGGGAGGTGGGCAGCCGGGGTCACGGCGTGTCATCATATCAGGTGACTCCCCCCATACCTGCATAGCACTCACCTGTACAGGCAACACAGGTAACCCACCTGAACTGGCAACACTCCTCTGCACATCACATCCAGTGTGTGTGTGTTAATGAATTTCAAAAGGGGGGGACGAGAGTCGGAATGTAAGTTAAAATGTTATGCAATTTTGTAATTATCTGTCTATTATTATTTTTAAATAAATGTACTTTTAACAGCAAAACACTAATAATTGTACCAGTAATAATCAAACTCGCCGGGAGCGTGTCGCGATGCCCGATCCATTGTTATTGATCACCAATGTTGATCAGCATCGGTATTATTGATCACCATTACTGATCAGCATCGATATTATTGATCGGCATTATTCATCATTATTGTACCTGCACAACGCGACAATAAAATCGCGCTAGAGCCTCTCTCTGCACGTGACTTGTTGTGCATCAATGTCCGTGCGCGTTGAGAGAACGGCCTCTGCAAGAATGCGTCGCGACGCGCAAGTTCGTGTCAATGAGTGGGGAGCGGTGGTGTAGCGGTTAGCGCGCTGCGCTATGAACCTGGTGACCCGGGTTCGATTCCCGCTCACGGCCAACACCCAGTGACGATTATCTGAACCGGTCGTGGGCCTCCCCTAGGTCGACTCAGCCTGAAATGAGTACCTGGTGCGGTGTGTAAACATCGCCACTAGGGAGACAAAGGCGGTCGGGCGTGGTGCTGGCCACCCACCCCCTCGTGTACCGTTCCGGCCTTCATAGGTGCTCGCTAACAGCACTTGCCCCTACAGTCTGTTAAGGCTATACGGGGGGTCTTTATGCCCACGCGAGGAGTCCAACGTGGAGTTGGTTACACAGGTTCGGAAGCTAAGCAGGTTTGAGCCTGGATAATTATTGGATGGGCGACCGCCACGCTCAACACATGACCTCTACCCCACCCCGTCCCGCGATGCGTCACGGGTGGTACAGAGTTGCATTGGCAGCTGCCACCCGCCACTCGGAGTCACGAAGCACTTGGCCCACGATTGCACGAATATGTTTCGTTGTTGGATTGATCAACACGTGGGCGGCACCGCCTTCGACGTTCAGCCACCGCAACAACAACGACCAATCAACGTCTCTCTCTCTCTCACACTCGAAAAAACACACGTGGTCATCGTGTCACGAACTCTTCTCGTGCGTGATGACGCCCGAAGCGATCATGGGACACGACAATTTTAATGGGACGCCGGATCGATTCCAGCTCCCGGCACGGCATTTGAAACCACGAGAGGGGGGGGGGGGGGTGTTACAGCAAGCTTCTAAACTCTCCCCGGCTCGTCCCCCGCCTCGTCCACCCAGCAGTGTGAGTGGGTTACCTGGCTGCTCGATCGACAGGTCGCGGGGATAGGCAGTTTAACACGTGGGAGGCTTTCGCGGCCTATATCACCCAGAATACAAGAGTTTTCTTGGGTTAGATCGCGTACATATATAATGTGTCGTTAAACCCGCCACCACCTGACACAACCAATTAGTAAAGTTGGTCACGTAAACAGAACGTGCCAATTTGTTACTTGTGCAGCACACCGGAGTTTTTAGGGGAGCCAAGCCACGACATTTACAATCTGAGTACGACGTTTCGCCAGATATTACAACCAGCTTCATCAGGCGACAGATTTGTGGAGAAGTCCTCCTGTTTCCTTCCTTTTTTCTTGCCAGGTCCGCTCGCAAAAGAGGTGTTTAACCTCAAGGGTTCCTTACCTGGTGAAGTAAAGGTGAAATAAATAAAATATGTGATGACGTCGCTTACACGATCTAACCCAAAAAGCACCCGCATTACGGACCTCTCTCAAGAGCTCCATCAAGCGGATTGGCCTTCCAACAGCAGTGGCTGCGAGACCTTGCAAAGCCCGGGCGCCTTAAGACTTCACACACGACCGGTGGTTCAACGGAGCAGGTACGAGGATGGCGGTCAAAGCGAATGGCAGTCACAATCGCTGCCAGCGTCAGATTGTGCAGCAATAGCGAGCGTGAAGTCACGCACTCATCATCATCAGGGATTCACTTCGACCGGGAAATACGTGGGCACGCAGCACGCCACATCCAGTACACCTCATCGCTGTGAGGTCTTCTTGCGAATAGTCGCCTTCCACTTCATGAGCACGGTTGGCTACGTACGGCGCGAAAGAATTTCAACATACAGTCTACCAGAGAGCCGGGAGAAAATATTCGGCGATAAATTAATCCCATTCAAAAATGGGCTTCATTTAAAAAAAATGAAAATAACCATCGTTATCAGGATTATGATCCTAACCGAGCATGACTCACGAATTGGTGGATAGACTGGCACTCGCCGTGGGAATGTGGAATTCCCCACCACTGGCCGAGAGCCGAGCGAGCCATCGTCCTTCACTCGCTCTACCTGGGCCCCCTCAACACCAATCGACCCCTCAAACCTACACAGAATCCCCTTGTACCCCCTAGGACCCCTTTACACCTTCCTGACAAATCGGCTGGTCCCCTTTCGCCAGTCCCGGGACCCCGCCCTGGAGTAGGACCCCCTCGAAGGCGCGTGGAGGGTGAAGGAACCCGAGGGGGGGGCGGTGGGGGTCACGGACCCCACAGCGTTGCCCCCCGCAGGGTTCAGCCGCGCGTATCGCCTGTCAAAGTAGCTGTGGGGGGGGCAGGGGGTGCGGGATGGGAGAGGGAGGGGTCAAGAACAGAAATCGCCGATCGCGCAAAGTCAATCGCTGTGTGTGTCCATGTGTAGGTGGGATGGTGATGGTCGAGGAGATGGATGTTATCAGATGGTCATGGTGGTGATGGTGATGATGGTGGTGGCGATGATGTGTGTATGTTGAACTTCTTTCGGACCGTACGTAGCCAACCGCGCTCAACAGAGGTGCGGGTTAGGCGATGATGATGATGGTGGTGATGATGATGGTGATGATGATGGTGATGATGATGGTGATGATGATGATGGTGATGATGGTGGTGATGATGATGATGGTGATGATGATGATGGTGGTGATGATGATGATGATGGTGGTGGCTGTGGCGGCTGCTGTGATTATGATGATGGTAAAGATGATGACGGAATAGTTTATGGCTGTAATGGTGGTGATACTCGTGGTGTTAGCAGTGTTGGCATGGTGATGACGGTTATATTTTATGATACAGATGTTGTGCAGAATAGAATTTAATTACCAGTGCTGGTAGCAGCAGGAGTGATGGTCATGATGATGGTGATGGCAGTGGTGTTGTTAGTTGTAATAGTGAGTGGTTGATGATAGTAGTAGTAGTAATATCTGTGAAGATGTTGATGATGTGGATGATGATGATGATGATGATAATGACGGGAGTAGTTTCTGTGGTGATGTTGATGATGAAGCTGACCGTAGTAGTAGTATTATCTGTGATGTTGATGGTGAGGATGATGCCGGTAGTAGTTTACGTGGTGATGATGTTGATGATGTTCATGGGGTGCACGTACTCTTCAGACCAGATGGGCCGCACGGGCTTGCACGCGGGTTTGCTGGCGAGGACCCTGCGCGCCACGAGGCCCGACACGAGCTCGTGAGCGAGCAGCGCGTAGAGCAGCGCGATGAGAACTGCCGCCTCCATGGTGCTCGCCGATCCTACCTCCCCTCGCCCTCCCTTCTCCATCTCCTCGTCCCCCTCCTCCGTCCTCCTTCCTCTCCCTCCCGTGCAGGCCTCTCTGCGTCGGCCTCAATCAATGGCCATGGGCAGCTACAGTATAAGTAACATTGAGCACACGCACACACACCGCACACACACCACACACACACACCGCGCACACACCGCACACACACCACACACACACAGCGCACACACACCGCACACACACCGCACACACAGCGCACACACACCGCACACACAGCGCACACACACCGCACACACAGCGCACACACAGCGCGGTCGTAGCAATAAGAATAGGACACCAACGTTGCCCTGGATGATTGTCACGCCCCGTCTTAATGTTGACGGGCCGAGGCGACGCGCCGACTCGCGCGAATGGCCGCATTGTTGGTGATTGTCGACCACGACCACAATATTTATTTACACTGCGGGAGGACTCCGATGAGCACACGAGAGACGGCGGGCAACATGCAAACGAAACTGGGCACGGAGAGACGCGCTCACCGGTGCGAGGTGGCGAGACGGAGGTTTAATATCCTCGAGGCCCACGCAAGGCGATTGTTAAATACTTCTTATTGTGTGAAATGGGCTCCCTCGCGTCGATATCCGGTAAAACGCAGATATGTTATGTTTAAAAATATGTATGTAAAATAATAATACGTAACGGACTAAGAAATTCAGTCTTGGCAAATTATGAATTTGAAACGAGCTTTGTACGGTGATTGTATTAGCGATAAACGCTGGCGATGGGTAGAGGTTTGGGAGAGAGAGAGAGAGAGGCGTGTTCAGCACCACGGCCAGCGCCGCCTCACTCACTCATCACGCGCACGCGCGGGAGAGGGAGGGAGGGGGAGGGATGGGAGAGGGAGGGATGGAGGGGAGGAGAGGGATGAGAGGAGAGGGAGGGGAGGAAAGGGAGGGGAGGAGAGGGAGGGACGGGGGAGGGCTGGTAGAGGAAGGGGAGGAGAGGGAGGGGAGGAGAGGGATGAGAGGAGAGGGAGGGGAGGAAAGGGAGGGGAGGAGAGGGAGGGACGGGGGAGGGCTGGTAGAGGAAGGGGAGGAGAGGGAGGGGAGGAGAGGGAGGGGAGGAGAAGGAGAGATGGGAGGGCTGGGGAGAGGGAGAGATGGGAGGGTTGGGGAGAGGGAGGGACGGAGAGACGTGGATAAGAGAGGGAGTCTGGGGGGAGGGAGGGAAGAAGGGAGGGAGGAGATTGAAGGGTGGTAACGTTACTGTCGGGGCGGTGTGGATATGGTGACTCGGATTGTGTTGGTGATGGGGTGATGATGCTAGAAGTCAGAAGTGATGATGAGATTCCGATCATCGCGGGTTGGGAGTGAGTGATGAGAGGGAGGGGGGAGACGGAGAAAGAAACGGAATGAATGAGAGGGAGACGAGTGGGTGGGGTTGTTTTGTGCTGGAAGGAATTGGAGCGTCCGGAGAATCCCCACACACGCATACGAGGGGACATCACTCAAACGCCGCTGGACAAACACAGCGACAGTAAACAATTTGCTGAACAGTCATTTGTTTACAAAAAACATTCTCACAGCCTGCCAACCAGGCATGTAACAACCACACGCACACAGATACAAAGACAAAGATCCCCCGTATAACTTGTAACAGACTGTAGGGGCAAGTGCTGTTAGCGAGAAGGCCGGAACGGTACACGAGGGGGTGGGTGGCCAGCACCACACTCGACCGCCTTTGTCTCCCCAGTGGCGATGTTTACACACCACACCAGGTACTCATTTGAGGCGGAGTCAACCTAGGGGAGGCCCAGGACCGGTTTAGATAATCGTCACTGGTGTTGGTCGTGAGCGGGAAACGAACCCGCGTCGCCAGATTCATAGCGCACCGTGCTAACCGCTACACCACCGCTCCCCTTTCAGATAACAACAACTATTCGCCACTAAGTGGCGGTGACGTCACCATGACGCTTGTGCCAGGCTATGTGCACCATGAGGCCACGTGAAGTGTCGAGCGCCCACTGGCAGGAGGTCACGGGGCAGACCCAGATTCCACATGTCGACTGAGACGACTGGCTGATGCACCACCTGTGACCCCGACTGTGCCAACTTGCTGTGCTTTAGCCACCCGGCGCTCCGCTCGTTATTGTGAGCGTCGCTCCTCCGCCCTCCGTTGTTGTTGGAGGGCGACTACCTCCAACTGCCCAATGGCGTCCTTCACGAGCCTCCTCCAAAGAGGACGATCTTGACACCGCTGGTACCAGTCATCGGAAAGTCCACTCAGCTCCACGTCTTCCTGTACCGCATCACTCCATCTCTTCTCTAGCTCTATCTAGCCCGTGCAGCGTCCATTTAGCCCCCTCGATCCGGCCGAACAAAAGCTGTTTAGGCATGTGGTGGCTGGGCATGCGGGCTACATGACCCAGCCAACGCAGCCTTGCCTGCCGGAGGAGCTCACCGATGGGACTTTGTCCACATCTTTCAAGGATTTGTGAGCTCCTCACACAATCCAGCCTGGTTAAGCCCAGGATGGATCGTAGGCAGGCCAGCCGAAATGTTTCTAACCGGCGAAGATGTTTCATTAGGGGGGTCCACGTTTCGCAAGCGTAGAGAAGGGAGGGAATGACTGTGGCCGAGAAGACCTGAAGCTTCGTACGGGGTCATAGACCAGGTAGGTTCCACACAGCATTACGCAACCGATGAAAAGATAATGCCGCTCGACTGATTCGAAGTGAGACCTCTGCTGTTAAACCAGAGCCAGTCATGAGCACACTGCCAAGGTATGGGAAACTCTCCAATCTCTCCACAACTGCCCCATCACCGATTGGGAGTTATGGGGGTGGAGTGTCCGATGGTACAACATACCCAGGCAGGTGCTTAGTTTTGGTGGGGCTGATGGTAAGGCCCCACCTCTTGGTGGCAAGCTCCAGGTTCAGCAGCAGCGCCTCCAACTCCTCCTCTGAGTGAGCAGCAATTACCAGATCATCGGCATACATAACGTGGTTGAGCAATAGGGAGCCATCCCTTGACCGCACCCGGGCATCGATCAGCCTCCCATTGTATCTGTACCAGAAGGGAATTCCTCCGGTACAGCTATTGAAGGCTTCACGAACTACGTGGTCAAAATATATGTTAAATAATGTGGGAGCCAGAGGACATCCCTGTCGCACCCCAAGGTGTACAAGGAATGGCTCCGACTCCCGGCCACGTAGTTTTACTCGGGCCTGCTCACCATCATGAAGGTCTAGATTTGAAGCTTTCGTGACTGCAAGGATTCATACTCTTAGGTTTTTTCGGTAACTTTTTTTACTTTACCGAAAAAACCTAAGAGTATCATGAAGGTCCTTAATGATCGTGAGCAGAGGGTCAGGGACTCCGAAAGCACGAAGAACAACCAAGAGCCCATGCCTACTGATGGTATCATAGGCCTTGACCAGGTCAATAAAGCAGAGATGTAGGTCTTGTTAGAATTCGCTACACCTCTGCTGTAGCAGACGGACTGAAAATATGGCATCTGTGCACGACCGCCCTTTCCTGAAACCGTATTGTGGCTCCGCAAGCCTCTCCTCAGCGTGCCTGGCAAGGCGATGTTGAATAATCCACGACCACTTCAGGTCATCGTCACCGGTGTTGGTGGCCGTGGGCGGGAATCGAACTCGGGTCGCCGGGTTCGTTGCGCGGCGCACGGGAACCGCAACAGCCGCGCGCGCCCCCCCACTGCCCCGCCCCCTCCCCCACTCTCCCCTCACCGCCCCCTCGCTCCCCCCCCCCACTGCCCCGCCCCCTCACCGCCCCCTCCCTCCCCCCACTCCCCGAGGGTCTTGGCCCCGGGGCGGCCCAACAGTGACCCCACTCCCTCACACTCTCTCATACTCTCACACACTCTCTCATACTCTCACACACTCTCACACACTCCCTCACACTCTCTCTCACACTCTCTCATACTCTCACACACTCTCACACACTCCCCTCACACTCCCACTCTCTCACACTCCCTCACACTCTCTCTCACACTCTCTCATACTCTCACACACTCTCACACACTCCCTCACACTCCCCACTCTCTCACACTCCCTATCACTCTCTCTCACACTCTCTCATACTCTCACACACTCTCACACACTCCCTCACACTCCCCACTCTCTCACACTCCCTCACACACTCTCTCACACTCTCTCATACTCTCACACACTCTCACACACTCCCTCACACTCCCCACTCTCTCACACTCCCCACACTCCACACTCTGACCCCCCACTCCCCACACTGCTCTCTCTCTCTCACACTCCTTGACACTCAACTCCCACCGCCCTGCACCTTCTCTTCAAGCTGTCGCAGTCACCGCCACTCGAACTCCTCCTCTCTGTCTTCTGACCCCCTTGAGAGGGGGCCGACCCCCTTACACAGGGAGGGGGGGAGGCTCTGGGGTCCCTGCGCCTCTCGGTGTGGGGTTCCGCTACTATCGAGACGTGATGCAGGATGGTGAGTATCTCTCTCTCTCCTGTCTTGTGCGATCTAGAGGCGATACAGAATGGTGAGTGTCTCTCTCTTGTGTACGATTCAAGTTCTGTCCGAGTCGAAGGGATGCCGCTTGTTCCGCAGACCCCCCGGTGCGATGCTTCTTCCCGATCACAACAGCAGCGTGCGATGAGAAACGACGTCGTTCGTCCACTGTTGTATGAAGATCTTATGCACACGTCCCGTCGGTCGACGTGGGTCGTTTGGCCATACTTCACCACGCTGGTCAGCGCCGGTTGGTGGAAAATGATGCTCAGGAACCGGTTTGAGACGACATCGTCCGCACGCCGATGTCAGCCGCAGTCGGAGCATCGAACTGGGGGAGGCGAGTTGCCGGGGCGGTGCGCGCTAACCACCGCGCCACCGCTCCACCAGGACCGATGTTCATCACCGTCATCGGCCATGGTCTATCCACTGCTGGGGGAAGGCCTCTCCAAGCTGTCGCCATCCACCCAGCGCCTTTACACGTGATGGGTTTATCGCTCCATCTCCTCGGGGTCGTCCTCCAAGACACGCTTCACTCCGTGGTTACCAATCCGTCACTATCCTTGACCATCGGCCACGATCAACGAGTGTTTAAACTAAGCGAGCCTACTTGCTGTGCCTCCCATTGACGAGACGACGCCGTCCCGTAGTCTCTCACATCGGCAAACAGAACAATGAAATCGGTGGACAATCCCCGCGTGATCCATCAACCCCGGCCTCCAGGGCGCCGTGTTCACCCGTGGCCAGGTGCGACGTGGCCGCGCTCCGCCAGCCGCAGCGCGCTTGGCGACCTGCGACGCGTGTGGAAGGGTCGGGGCACGGGTTGAACCCAGGCGCGCTGCGGTGTGGGGCTCAGATGGGAGCTGGGGGGTCGATATCGGAGCCGGACACTGACTGATGGTTGCTAGGCGACTCGAGCACGGCTCAGTTGCTGCGGCTCGGGCCATGCGACGGTTGGGTAACCGGTGGTGCTGTAACACTTTTTTTTATTTTCAATATTTAAAGCGTTTTTTTTTTATTTTAGCAGGTCAGGCCCACTGAGGTATACAGCTCTCTTTCAGAAGCGTCCTGGCGATCGCACGAAGTGGATTATTGTCATGTGGAAATGTATAGCAACAGCCAATCACTCTCCACGCGCAATGTTGATTCTACGGGAAGAGGAACACGCAAACACCAAATATACAGCAGCAGCAGGCGCCAAGGTCGGGGTCGAACCCACGACCTCCCGCGTACCAGGCGAGGGAGTCAACATCTCTGCCACCGCGACGCCCACATGTTGGCGTGGAGGGGCATCGACGCGTTAACGCAAAGAGCGAATTCCTCTTTGTACTATATTTAATCGAGGAGTTATGTTACCGAGCACAAATTCCCGTTCACTTTACAACGTTATCCATGTGTTGAGATAGTCCTCTACACATGTACAGATACCCCGCGAAAATAATTGGGAGAAATTACAACTCGCAGCAAGACGCCCATGGGTTCGATTCCCGACTTGGGAAGCTTTCTCTGTGGCGTTCATATGCTCCACCGCCTGTTCTGCAGCGGTTTTCTACGGGCTATCAGAATTGTTCTTCCCCGCAGCTAAACCCACACAGTGGAGCTGGCATTGAACCAAACATTCCAATGCTGAAAACCTATACCTGGAAATTGCTGAATTAGGATCACAGAGCAGCAGCGAAATCGCCCTCTCCTGCTAGTATTAATCTTTGTTGGCTTTTCTTATCCAGTGGTGGAAATTCCACATTCGGGTGACAGGTGCAAGTATATCCATAAGGTGTAGGAGCACAGTTAATGATTATTGTTGTTTTGTTATTGCAGAACGCACATCCCTGGCCGCTCTGTTGGAAGATGAGATATTTGTGGAATTTTTCAACATATTTCTCAACCTCCCGGTGAGTGTGAGCCCACACCAAGACAACTGAACGTGTCTTCGTGCGGGGGGAGGGGGTAGGAGGAGGTAATAATGGCCGTGTCAGGGATACCACTACTGGGGCCGCAACGCTGAGAACCTGGGTTCGAATCCAGGTATCAGCCGCCCGTGATTAAAATCGCCCTCTCAAGTGCAGAGAGTTGACGGTGTCAGCCTCGTCACCAATGACTGCCTCCAACAACAAATCGCATCACAAGTTGTCTCGCTTCCAGCTATGAGGTCTAAACGTTGTTTTGCCTTGCGGCATTGTTCTCACGAGACACGCTGACGCCACGGAATGTGGATACGAGGCAATTGAAGGGACCCCCGAAGTAGTTCTGCAATGTCTACTTCCAGACGCCATTCTCAGACACGGGATATTTCATAGGCGTCCTGCGACGGGTACGGGTATTGTTCAGCCCAGAGCCGAGTTTGCAAATGTGCGCTGTAACAATGCTGCATGTGTACAGTCGGAGTCTAGGTGTGCAACTTTAATACAACTGGGGAACGCTGCACGGAGCTGTTTATGAAACATTTCGGCCGACTTGTCGCGGCGGGCTCGCGTGTGCGTGCTGCAACACGAACAGCGGCGGACTTTGTTACAATTTAACCCACATTCGGTTAATGTTTCGTCGACTCATTATCCAAGGTCACCGAGTCCGCAGACTCAGGGAAGCCGAACCGGTCTCAGTTTGGTCAGTCGTCGGTTGAAATTCCACGTTCCCTTGACGAGGCATCTGTTTCGTACCGGGATGAGCACCGGTGTCTCGGTGAGGACACGAAGCGACGCGCGGATTTGTGATCGTCGATGCGTGCGACAGTGAGGACCGTGGCCCCCTGAGGGATGGTGACGGCCTTCATCCAGCAGTAGATAGGCCATGGCTTAAGATGACGATGAGTTGATTTTCAGAAAGGAAAGAGATGAACTTGAAAGGGAAAGTAGTAAGCAAATCTGACAGTTATAGCAGGACAGACACCAAAGACAAAGATCTCCCGTGTAGCCTTAACAGACTGTTGGGGCAAGTGCTGCTAGCGAGCGCCTATGAAGGAGAGAACGGCACACGAGGAGGTGGGTGGCCAGCACCTTTCCCGGCCACCTTTGTCTCCCCAGTGGCGATGTTTATACACCGCACCAAGTACTCATTTGAGGCTGAGTAGACCTCGGGGAGGCGCAGGACCGGTTCAGATAATCGTCAAGACAGACACCACAGACAGACAGACAGACACACGGACAGACATGCAGCACGTAACATCAGACAAATGTGGGGAAGGACAGATGGACAGCGACCCAGGCAGGCAGACTGAATGATGACGAAGAGGCAGGGCCCCTGTGCACTGCCTGCTCACTCCTCCATGTGCGTTCTCTGCAATGCAGGTGTTTGGGCAGAGGGCGTTTTACCTGCCGGGAGAACGCACCTGGGTGTTCCAGCCCAAGCTGCCATCTCACCTGGTGACATACACATTAACACACTAACACAGAGACAAAGGTCCCCCGTATAGACTGCTCAGATTATTGGGGCAAGTGCTAAGAGCGAGCTGCTATGAAGCACGGCCGGCACACGAGGGGCGTGCCAGCACCATGCATGCCCAGCCGCCTTTGTCTCCCCAGCGCTGATGTTTTTACAATCGCAACACAAGCAATCTCCTGATGACGATTGCGTGTGTTGCGATCGAAACGTCGTAGTTTTTTGTTATTTTTTTTATATTTTCTTTGAACCTATCTACGTGACTTTACCGAAAGACCCAAGAATATGAATTCCTGCAGTCACGAAAGCTTTAAGTCAAGTTTGCGTGTCTTTCTCTCCCCGTGGCCTCGTGGATTTTTCTCCGGGTCCTCCAGTTTTTCCCTTCACGTGTAGAATTAACACCACGCCTTTAGAGCATCCGGCTGCTATAAATTTCCCACGTGACGATAAGCCACTTGGTTGAGCTATCGTTTGCGATCGCCAGGTCGCTTCTGAACGACATCTACATTGTAGCTCAGTGGGGCTTACCTAGTAAAATAAAAAATAAAACTGTAAAAAAAATATTCGTGAAAATAATCGACCCTGTCGGGAAAACATTTCCGCGGATTTCTACCGCGACCCCAGGAGCTGAGCGCCGCCGGGCTGCAGCGGTGGCTGCAGCGAGAGCGACTTCCCCTGTTCGTGCGCTCGGAGCTCAGCGTGGAGATGGCGCTGTGCAAGGAGATACTGGCGGCTCCGCTCGCCTACACCGCCGGTGAGCCGCGGGGGACTGGTTCGCATCAGGGCCAGGGCGAGCGTGTGTGCGCGCATGCGTGTCTGTGCGTGGGTGGAGTGGAGTGGTCGGGAGCGCTTGCCCTCAACAGTCTGCTCAAGACGAAACGGAGGGTCTGTTTTGTCATCATTTTGATACAGGCAAAAAGGTGCCATAGATATAACTGCTCAACTCGAGCTACAAATTATCTGTTACTTGCATTGTCTTTGTACTGTTCGCCTTTTGAGGTTCTCTGATCTAACACTGGCGGTGAGACAAGGCCGTAAAGAAAGCTGTCTCTGGTGTAAGCCAATCAGTTGCAAAGACAATGCATATATTATCAGGGCATGCTTGTTTGCACGTTTAGCCACAAGTACGTGCGGTTAATGCAGACTTGATGCCTTGTGAAACATATCTTTTTGATATTTGAGCATATTAACATCTGTTTTATTGCCAGAAATGGTAAAATATATTCTTATTTTTTCTGTGTGTAAGTGTATGCGTTTCTGTTTGTACTGCGCTATGAACCCAGTGACCCAAGTCCGATTCCTGCTCACGACCGACAAAAGTGGTGAATATTTGAACCCGTCGTGGGCCTCCCCTATGTTGACTCAACCTTATATGAGTACCTCGTGCGGTGTGTAACACATCAGCACTGGGGAGACAAAGGCGGCCGGTCGTGGTGCTGGCCACCCACCCCCTCCCGTGCCGTGCCTACCTTCGTAGTTGCTACTCGTGAACAGCACTCGCCCCAACAGTTTGTTGAAGCTACACGGGGGATCTTTGTCTTTGTCTGTCGCCATAGACCCCACAGAGGTGAAGGCGGAACGCAGTCGCCTCCACTCGTGCGTGGGCAGCCCGCGGGGCATGGCTCACCTGCGGGCTCACCTGAGGCACACGCAGGGTACAGAGATCCTCACCTCCACGCTCGCCTCCACGCTCGCCTCACCCCTTGACCTCACAGCCTCAACTCCGCCCTCACCTCTACCTACCCTCACCTGCACTTTCACTTCCACGCTCACCTCCACCACCACCTTCACCTCCAACAGTACCTCCACCCTCACCTGCACCCACCTGGGACCCTTACTACATCGTCGTCATCATCATCATGATGACGACGACGATCAGGGATACATCTCCCGACGCCCTGGACCCGACCATCCTGACGGGCAGGGCGTCGACGAACTTTCTGGAATTCAGCCCTGGACAGCTCCAGCCGAAATGAAACATGCGTTGAAGACCTGAGACCCTGCATTGAGGACGCGTCACCCTTCCACCAGTCTCCTCCAGCCCTGAGCCCGAGCTACTCCCACCGCGTGTGCAGGAGGAGAGATGCTGGAGTTCTGGGCGGTGGTGGAGAGGCTGCGCCGGGCGGAGGAGGCCGAGGGGTCGCGGGGTCCCCGCTACCACCGCCTCCTGAGGGCCCTGGCGGCGCGACACCTCCGGGAGCCGTCGTCCGTGCTGCGAAGCTGCGTGCCCGGGCCCAGCGGCACGGGTAGGGGCGGACACGGGTAGGGGCGGACACGGGTAGGGGCGCACACGGGTAGGGGCGCACACGGGTAGGGGCGCACACGGGTAGGGGCGGACACGGGTAGGGGCGGACACGCACGCGCGCTGGCACGAGCGGCAGAAGTAGCAGCCAGAGGCCAGGCACCATCGCTCCGGGCCCGATCCTACTGCGACTCTTAGGGGCCGTCCATACATGACGTCACGCACCTAGGGGGGGGGGGGGGGGGGGTCAGATATTTGTGACGATGAGTGACGAGGGGGGGGTTTGAGGAATGTGACGTCACATTAAAATGCGCAACTTTAAATAAATATAGACAACACGTTCTATTTAATTAGACGTTTTAATAAATGTTTCTCCTACAACATCAGAGTGCAGCGCCACATTAAATACGCACTACAATGGCAATAGTTTAAAGCGATTTGAAGCATGTTTTTTTTTCAAAATAGAAATATGGTTTTGGGGGGGGCAGAGCTTTGTGACGTCATATTTCAGGGGGAGTCTGTCTTTTTGTGACGCCGTGTGACGAGGGGGGAGGGTTAAACGTCCAAAATCGCGTGACGTCATTTATGGACGGCCCCTTAATCCTCGCAGTAGTGATATTAAGAGTTGCCCTCGCACGTGCAGTAGCCCAGAGCAGCAGTGCTAGCCAGAGGTCCACAGTCATAGTTCTAGCCCCAGCGCCATAGCTACAGAAGTCGTACTAATAGTAGCCCTAGCACGAGCAGTAGTACTAGCTATACACCTGTAGTCCCAGCCAGGGTGCGATTTTTCGCTCGCTTGATATTTTCCCGAACGCCACGAGGCCAACTTGGAATCGGGATTGTCAGCATAAGGCACTACCACGAGAGTAGCACGTACGCCGGTCTGTAACAATCTCAAATCATTGAAGCCTATATCCCTACAGCAGTCGCTTTAGGTGTTGTACTTTAGCCATAGACTTAGCTATGACGCTAACCCCAACACTATCGGTCATGCTAGTGATAGTCCTCTCGCTGACTCGAGTATGAGCATGGACGGTAGACGTCGCTCCAGCACTAGCTCCAGGAGTAGCTCCAGCACTAGCTCCAACGGTAGTTCCAGCACTAGCTCCAGCACTAGCTCCAGCGGTAGCTCCAGCAGTAGTTCCAGCACTAGCTCCAGCACTAGCTCCAGCGGTAGCTCCAGCAGTAGTTCCAGCACTAGCTCCAGCACTAGCTCCAGCAGTAGCTCCAGCACTAGCTCCAGCGGTAGCCCCAGCAGTAGCTCCAGCACTAGCTCCAGCACTAGCTCCAGCAGTAGTTCCAGCACTAGCTCTAGCGGTAGCCCCAGCACTAGTCCCAGCAGTAGTTCCAGCACTAGCACCATCACTAGCTCCAGCGGTAGCTCCAGCACTAGCTCCAGCACCAGCTCCAGCACTAGCTCCAGCACTAGCTCCAGAACTAGCTCCAGCAGTAGTTCCAGCACTAGCTCCAGCGGTAGCCCCAGCACTAGCCCCAGCAGTAGTTCCAGCACTAGCACCATCACTAGCCCCAGCGGTAGTTCCAGCACTAGCTCCAGCGGTAGTTCCAGCACTAGCTCCAGCGGTAGTTCCAGCACTAGCTCCAGCGGTAGCTCCAGCGGTAACCCCAGCGGTAGCTCCAGCGGTAACCCCAGCGGTAGCTCCAGCGGTAACCCCAGCGGTAGCCGTAGTCTTGTGCGTAGCGGTGGCCCTCAACCCCCCAACAGCAGCAGCAGCAGCAGTCCGAGCCCTCCGCTCGACGTCGCCGACTCAGCGTGTCGCTGCGTTTCCTCAACAGCGCCGCGCGACCGCGCCCGGCTGCTGCGGGCGGCGCAGGGCGAAGCGCTGGCGCAGCTGCGTGGCTACTGGGTGCCGCGGCTGCTCCGCCACGAGCGGTGGCGACGGGAGTGGCGCGCGAGCCTCGCTCCCGGCTCGGTCGACGGCGACGGTGGCGATGACGCGGCGACCCCTGGAAGCCGGGGTCACGATGATCGCGGGTCGTCCTCGACTGCAGCTGATCGGCCTCCGTCGTGCGTTCACCACCACCACGACTGCCACCACGGCCACCACGGCCACCACTACCAACACCAAAGCTGCAAGGACCTCGGCAACTACCGTGCCTACGACTACGACCACCCAAACTCACCGAAGGGACTGCGCGACGGCGGTTGTCGCTTTTCCTGGGGTGAGGCGATGAGGACGTCTAACACAGCAAGGGGGTCCAAGCGGCACGGATCGAACCCCTGGAGGTCGGGAGGACCTCGCCGATGGCCGGACCCCTCTCCAGCGGCCAGACGGATAGGATGGGAGATCCTACGTCCTGAGATGGGGGGCCAGCCCCCCGAAACGGAAGCCCTACGATCCGCCCTGGCCTGCGACCACTTTGCAGGGGGTCCCCTCCTGGCGTTTCTGGAGGCGCGGGGCCACGGAGAGCCCCCGCGGCTTCTCTTCTGGCAGGAGGCGGAGGGGTTCGCGCGCCTTGCCACGCGTGTACGTGCCCCGTCGTCATGTCCCGCCGTCGCGTCTCTCTGTGCTGTCTGTGTGAAGATAAATAACGCGTTCAGAAATGCGGCATTGCCCGCTGTTGGTAACGTTTTAACAATCCGCGCCTCCGACGGGCACGGTTGACTACGTACGGTTTAAAATAAGGCTCCACATACGGTACCTACAATTATAGCCAAGTGTATTTGCGCAGTATATGTTTGGTATCAGAATCGGAATCTTGATTTAGACTGGAGGAATCCGATGAGCGACGAAGCTCTGACAGCTGTCCAGGAGTTTGTCCTGCCTGGTTACTAAAGGCGGATCACAGTGCCAACCCAGGACCTCGCCTACCAAATTAACGTCAGCAATTCAGTAAGTCACACAGTCTGATAGCAGAAAATAAAAAACAACAGGCTCACGTTTTGGACGATGGCCCTTCCTTGAGCCTGTTTCAGATCAAAGGACGGTCATAGCGGCTATTGTGGTTGCCCTACGAATTGACTTGTACCTGCCGTGGGAACGTGGAATTCCCACCACTCTCTCTGACCGAATTATAGGTGACGAGTGCCTGCCCACAAGCATTTCGACAAATGTTCCCTCTCTCTCGCTCTCTTATCTCGGATGGCATTTGAAGAGCAGGCGACAGCCGTGATCGCCGTGTGTCCAGTCTGGCCATCCGTTCGATGGCACCGGGAGTTGCTTGACACGCAGCGTCCGTACCTCCCGCGTGATCGTGCACTGGGCAGTGGTCAGTTGTCGTGACGAGCACACCGCACTCTGACCTGCTCTGAGCTCGCGTCGCCGTTCATCCGACCCGCAGGATCCTGGCTGCGACCCCTCCCTTCACGAGCTGCTCTCGCAGGCCGCCGAGCGTGTCTGGAGGTCTGGGCTCGCGTGCGGGGTCACCCTGACCCGGGGTCAGGTCGGGGTCGCGTCGCCACCGCCGCCGCCACCCGCCGTTCCGCCCCACACGCTTGGTCCGGCCCTGGCGGGAGAGGCGTCCGTCGTGTCTCCACCCCGACGTCTCCTCTCCTCGCTGCTCGGAGCGACGCTGGGGGCGGCCGTGTCGCTCCGACTCGCGGACGCGCAGAGACGCGTGGGTCAGGTGACTCTGGGGGTTGGGTGGTGGACGGATGTGGGGTTAACTGTAGTTGCAATCGCAGCAGCGGAATTATCTGCTGAAATTACAATCACGTCACTCTTGCAATTCAGTATCAATTACACCGTCACGATTGTAATTGGCACCCCGGTGTATGTATGGATGTATGTTGAACTTTGTCCGCACCGTACGTAGTCAACCGTGCTAATCGGAGGTGCTGTGGAAGGACAACAAACTGAACACAAAAATCAGTTCTAAAAAATTCGTTTTCAATTTAGATGATTTGATAATGCATAGCTCCAGTGGCTTCCTAAATATCCGAATAGCATTCCAGACGGCCGCAGAAGCGCACCTGGAAGCGTGCGATGCGGTGACCGTCTTTGTTCGATGGCTAGACAACAGCCGCTGCGAGGATGACTACAGTTCACGTGATGGTTTATGCTCTTTGACGACATCAGCAACATATTGTGGTTCATTTGCGGCAAGCACTTTGTGTGTCATGAATGCATGTAGTAAGGGAGGAGGTGGCCAGGTGACTCAGGGGTCAGAGTGCTGAGCTGCCACCACTGGGCCCATGGGTTAGACTCCAGGTCTCAGCCACCCGTGAGTAACCCAGGCTCTTTCTAGGCCACCGAGCTTGATGACAGCTGGTCTCCTGGCGTTTTCGGTGCCTGCGATGACGTGTCCATTTGAACGTTTTCAGGAGCTGGGGCCGGCATTGGCCGAATTTGTGGACCGAGACATCGCGCTGTTTGTGAAGACAGCGGTGAGATGAGCATTGCTTCACCGGACAGCTACCTGATCACAAAGTGGATGATCCCTGGGAGAAGCCCAGATACAGGTGGCCACCCGACTTATGCGGCTTGCTCCGTGCTGCTTTGTTCCTCAGGCAAAGGTCAAGTGTGACCCCTGTACCCCACGAGAGGTCACGGAGGCGGCTGATCCCAGCCCGGAGGACGAGTGGCGACGGCGTGCGTCGGAGGCCGAGGGCCTTGCCTGGACCTTCTCGGGCCCGGTGAGCGAGGAGCCGGACGCGGGCAGCTGGGAGGGAGATCCCTGGCACCGGATGGGGAGAGCGGAGGGGGCGGCTGAACTCCCCCCAAGAGAAGGGGATGACGGTAAAGGGTCACCACCATCAGGGGAGTCATTCCGGTTAATTCAATTATTTCTTAAAAATCCACTCTTTTCCCATTTTCTGTCTCATTTTCCAGAATGTACAGGCGGACACACGCAGCAAGGATTCCCGACACGTGCGCGCGTTTGTCCTCGGAGTTATTTAATTGGCAGCAATGACGATGGCGGGCGCTCCAAGCGGCACAACGAGACGACGTCGCACGGCGCACGTGGCGCGTTGTGACGTCGCGCGATGACGTCATCGCTCTAGCCGGCTGAGAGATCATTCGTAGGGCACTAGCTGGTTTTCATTGCCACGTTTTGGGGTAACCACTTCATCAATTTGGCCACTTTTCTCCATTGTCAGTCCCCAATAGGAACACAACTCGATACTAAAATGTTGCTTAAAATACTGGATTGTGTTGACGAGCGTTACCGTATCTGCCCAGCAGACCAGAGAGAAGGCATTGATGCTTTCAACCTTAGATTGCAAAATGTCAAAAAGACGAATACAACCATTTCGAACTCTGCAGACGACAGTGCGTCACGCTGTGTCACAGAACTAATTCTGAAATCGGTTCAAAACAGACCTTTTTATTCACACTCGAGGCACACCATTTAATAATAATAATAATGTTATAAACTTTTAACACACCACCGACGCACAGTATTTGCTCACTCAGAGGCACGAGGAGGAACTACAGACAAGCGGGAAGGCGGCTACACGATAAGCCGGCACCAACAATCGCCCAAGCTCTGCAATCCTCTATATATTAAGGTGTCATCAGCCAAATATAATGCCCCAGCAAAGAAAATTTGTCGTACATTAATTGGAAAAAATCGGACTAATCAGTTTAATGCTCAGAACTGAATTACGTGAAAGGTCAGCATGACCCCCATAACGTGTGGAGATGTGGACTCCATTAGGAGGTTCTTTGTCTGGGATGAGAAACCCACCGCTGTAGTTACCCCCTCTTCCCTCCGCGGCGAGCGCAGGGGGTTGTGCGTGGTCTTTCGAGGAGACTGTGAGAAGATGTCCAAGACTCGCCGTGCGCATGCTGAGCGACAACTTCCAGCTGTACTACAGCAAGGGACCGCCACAGAGGGTACAGCGAGACGCGTCCGAGACGCGTCGAGACGCGCAGAACACTTCAGCGGGACGTCCCTTACGGGGCGCCGCGGGGTGCCGAAATGTTAACTACCTCGCCTGGTATACAGGAGGTCGTGGGTTCGATCCCGACACTGATATTCAGCTGTATATTTGGAGTTTGCGTGTTCTCTATCACCGTGGTCGCGTGGATTTTTCTCCGGGTCCTCCGGTATTTCCCTCCACGTTTAGAAACACGCGCTTAGAGTGTTTGGCTGCTACACATTTACACACGATGATAAGCCACTTCGTTGAGCCATCATTTGTTGTAGGGTCGCTTCTGAAAAAAATCTATATAGCTCCGTGGGCCTTATCCAGTAAAATAAAAAATAAGTGCTTCAAATTGTTTAGTTTAAAACTACAAGGGCTGTGTTAAGAGATCTGAGCTCCTCGCACAATCCAAGATAAAGACACCCGGTGTAGGCTGTTGTGGCAAGTGCTCTGAGCAATAACTTATAAAGGCGACAAAGTGTGCAAGGTGGTGTGGATGGCACCACGCCCAGCCACCTTTATCCACCACGTGCTGATGCTTAAACATCGCACCAGGTACCCATTTAAGGCTGAGTCGATCGAGAGGAGTCCCAGGAACAATTCATATATTCGCCACTTTTATTGGCCACGAGCGGGAAGGAAACTCGGGTCGCCGGGCTCATAGCACAAATGTATGTTGAACTTCTTTTGCACCGTACGTAGCTAACCGTGCACTAACCGCTGCACTACCGCTCCCCGACAATACTCGTGCACACGCACGCACTCACGCACAACACGCACGCACTCACGCACAACACGCACGCACGCACACACTCACAACACGCACGCACTCACGCACAACACACACGCAGAAGACGCGAGGGGGACCGCTTCAGCGTCGCCATCCCCGATGCAGTTGGCCCGGAGGCTGGTGCCGCGCGTGCTGCAGCACAGAGGCCGCCTCCTGCGCAGGCCCCTGGCGCCACCTCGGTGAGGCGCCCCACCACGCGGCACACTCCCTGCCATGGACACGGCACACTCCCTGCCATGGACACGGCACACTCCCTGCCATGGACACGGCACACTCCCTGCCATGGACACGGCACACTCCCTGCCATGGACACGGCACACTCCCTGCCATGGACACAGCACACTCCCTGCCATGGACACGGCACACTCCCTGCCATGGACACGGCACACTCCCTGCCATGGACACGGCACACTCCCTGCCATGGACACGGCACACTCCCTGCCATGGACACGGCACACTCCCTGCCATGGACACTGCACACTCCCTGCCATGGACACGGCACACTCCCTGCCACGGACACTGCACACTCCCTGCCACGGACACTGCACACTCCCTGCCATGGACACGGCACACTCCCTGCCATGGACACAGCACACTCCCTGCCATGGACACGGCACACTCCCTGCCATGGACACGGCACACTCCCTGCCATGGACACGGCACACTCCCTGCCATGGGACACGGCACACTCCCTGCCATGGACACGGCACACTCCCTGCCATGGACACTGCACACTCTCTGCCATGGACACGGCACACTCCCTGCCACGGACACTGCACACTCCCTGCCACGGACACTGCACACTCCCTGCCATGGACACGGCACACTCCCTGCCATGGACACTGCGCACTCCCTGCCATGGACACTGCACACTCCCTGCCATGGACACGGAACACTGCCTGCCATGGACACGGCACACTCCCTGCCATGGACACTGCACACTGCCTGCCATGGACACGGCACACTCCCTGCCATGGACACGGCACACTCCCTGCCATGGACACTGCACACTGCCTGCCATGGACACGGCACACTCCCTGCCAAGGACACGGCACACTCCCAGCCATGGACACTGCGCACTCCTTGCCATGGACACTGCACACTGCCTGCCATGGACACGGCACACTCCTTGCCATGGACACGGCACACTCCCTGCCATGGACCGGCACACTCCCTGCCATGGACACGGCACACTCTCTGCCATGGACACTGCGCACTCCTTGCCATGGACACGGCACACTCCCTGCCATCGACACGGCACACTCCCTGCCATGGACACTGGTGCACGTACGACCAACCAACACGGCACTCGTTTCACGCCCAGCATGGTACAGCCGTCGTCACCGATATGTGGGGTTCGACTGCATTTAACGTCGACCAAGACTTCCGGGCGTGTGGCTCAGAGGTCAGAGCGCTGAGATCCTGGGTTCAAATCCAGGTGTCAGCCACCTGCGATCAAATCGTAGTGAGTTGATGATCTAAGCCCGGTCGCCAATGGCTTGACGACAAAAAAAACCCTCTCATACTCAATGTGGTTCTGTACTTAATCCGGCTAGATTTCAGCTGTGATCATTAACACATCGGTTAGACCGTCATGCGACAAGAACTACACTCAGCGCCAGAGTAGGTCGAAATAGCAGTACTGCTCCCTAACGTGTGGGCCAGTGGTCACTCCACACACACGTTAGGGAGCGGAGCGGAGCTACGTTAGAGAGCAAGCTACCTCGGGATCCCCTCGTCTCGTGCCGCGATGGCCGAATCAGCTTCCATCGAGCGGAGCGTGACGCCGCTCCGCACACGCAGCGATTGCGGAGGCCCTGGGAGACGGGCCAGAGCCCTTCGTGGCGCTGCTGGCGGAGGCCGCGGCGCCGACGGCCGTGGGGTTCTGGCGAGAGGCCGAGCGGCTCCGCCTGGCGCGAGGCTCCACGAGGTGCGCGCCACGACGGCGTTCATCCACGCGCGCTACTTCCACAAGGGACTCGACCCAGGTGAGGCCGGCAGCGCTGGTGCGCACATACGATGAACTTCGTTCGCACCGTACGTAGCCAACCGCGCTAATCGGAGGTGCGGTGGGGGGGAAGACAACAAACTGAACGCAAAAAGCAGTTATAAAGAAATGAGTTTTTAATCGAGATTTAACAGTGCATAGTTCCCAGTGGCTGTCGAGTGTGCGGACGGTGGTGACACTGGCCACGCGCTGCTTTAATAAAATACTTCCGAGCCCATAACGCGTGTTTGCAAAGTGATACTGAATCCATGCATATGCAATTTTTTCTTCATAGTTTATATTGCATAACTGTGCCCGCCTCCTGCCCCTCCCTCTTTTTTCCCGACCTTCCCCACCCCTCCCCCTTTGTGGGGGGGCCCTAGCCGCCCTACTGCAGTGCAAGGCCCCCATCATGTTGGAGATCCAGGCAGAGCAGGTCGTGACGCCAGCTATGATCGCCACGGCACAGACCCAAGTGTACCGCGTCATGGAGGAGACGTGGTGAGTGCAGAGGACCTGGGATATAGAGGACCTGGGGGCATGGGACATGGAATCTGAGCAATTAGGGGCTTAGAAGGTCAGGGATACCCGACACGAGTGATACAGGGGATCAAGGAGATTGGGAACCTGTGATCACAGGGGTCTGGGAAAAACGGGGTCTTGGAGCCCAGTGGTACTAGTGACGATGGTACTGAGGACTTAGCAGGGTGGAGGACCTGGATGATAACAGTCTCGTGGTTCAAGGGTAGAAGTGGCCTAGGGGAGAAAGGGGATCGTTGAGACAGGAAGTACTGGAGAGGCAATTGGTACCAGGGACTAGAAGTACTGGAGATCAGAGATCGTCTGTCGTACAGAAAGAGCAACGACGTTGGCTCGCATGTAGATGATAGGTGGATTATTGCATTGCGAGACCGTGGGAAATAAAGAGGCTTTCATCACTTGAGAAGGCCTTCACGAAGCAAAGGACCGATCATGACCGACGATGACGATGTTGACGATGATGCACCTGTATGTGGCTATTTCAGGTTCAAGATTTATCTCGACAGCTTCCCTGAAAGGTCATCAACCGTTGCGCAGCCAGGGGCATCCCCAAAAAGGCACGGAAGAAGAATTGAAAACTCTACACACACACACACAACTGCCAGTATTTTTATTGTGTCCTACCACCACAGTCATAGGTTTATCCAGTACAAGTATCGAACTCATCAAATGGCCCCGTCTCTCGCCCTGGTAAAGTTCTCTATCGTGTATGGCTCAGACCAATAGTTGCTCCATGTTATGGGTTTCACTGCAGTGCCCACATCATTAGAAGCAGATCCACGTTCGCACGTTGACTTTTGACCTGCAAGCTCCCCTTTGAAGCGAGTGTGTGGGCATACGAGCGAGTCGGTGTGACCTGCCGGCCCCAATTCGACACATCACCACAGTGCTCGTGTCCTCCGTGCCCCTCTGTCCGACCCCCCCCTCCCCCCCCGACTCTGCCCCCACCCCCTCGCCGTGCAGAGCGTTGCCCGCGTTGCCCTGCGCCAGCTGGTGCGGAGCGTGGCGGGCCTCCTGGCGGCGCTGAGGGAGCCCGGCACCCGGCGGGACCTCGCCGCGTTCCTG